AAGATAACCCCCCTTCTGTTTTATTTCAACAAATTAATCGATCCATCTACGCTGTGCTTCAGTCCCCATCTGACGGTTAGAGCTCAAGTGCCTTTTAAGCGGACAGAAAAAGTTGGACATCAACCAGCTTACTCAATTCATAGTTCAAGCCAATTCACGAGCTATTCGTTTCTTTTTTGGTTCGGTGGCGTGCCAACATGCTACACTACCCATAATCGCATATCAGTCCCATATGGATAGGAAATTAAGCAAAGATGGGACTGATATGTGATTATGGGCTGTACACCGTCACCAGGTGCTTTTTCAAAGAAACCCAGTGCCGTGCATACATGAGTAGGCTGTCACCGAGTCGCAACGAGCTGGGTCGGAAGGGGCACATATTTTGGCCATGTTTTGATGATGTTTCACTCTTTTTTTGTGCGTTTATTTTTCCAAGCTCATTTGCCGTAGCTTTGCGGAGCCGATATTCATCGTCTGGGTTACAACATTACTTAAAACTAACGTTAGTAAAGCAGGGGCCTGCTTTACTCGCGGTCATCTCCAGGTTAGGGGTAACAAATTGTAACAAGCGGATGGCAGGGTAGGGATTGAAAACACAAGGTTGTTTCGAGCAATGTGCCACGTTTTTTACATGTTTGAGATTTTAAGTTGTATTTAGATTGTTGCCTTAAATCTTATTCATCGGTGTACATATATTGTCGTTACAGTTGAAAACTGGAAAAACCCACTACCAAATATCGATTTTACTCTCGTTCCATACGTTAAACATATTTTTCTTCGTATTTTTTTTTATATGGCCACTTTAACACTCTTGGGTCATTCGTGACTTGTCCGGGGGTGAGATTTAAACCCGTGACTTTGCGTGAGAAGTATGAATGTTAACCACTACGCCGGGGTTGCCCTCTATTATTTTTTTTATTCTTCTTTTTGTTGTTCTTCTTCATCTTCGTATTATCGCGAATTAACTTATTTTGTGCTCTCAAATAAGTGTTCTTGGTTCACTTTTACAGCTATTAATTAAGAGCTTTCGATGCCTGTACCATTTCTGCATTAGTGTATTTGTGTGGCAAGTACAATCATACTCTATGCCCAGGGAAGTCGAGAAATTTTTTTACCCGAAAAATTCCTAGACTGGACACATAACAAATGTGGAACTCGATCATCAAAAATCGACCCCATTTCAGTGATTGCAAGTGGTATAGAAGGACATCGATCTGTCAAATTGATTATACCAGCTGTAAAATGAGAAAGGGAATCAAGGGGTTTGTCAATTTTTTTGAATGATTCTACCGTGGTTTATAATTCTATGTGTTCCTAGCACTCCTGAACTCATGTCTTACTATTTCCCAAACCGTGTATGTGCTTTATTTATAATTATATAGCTAACTTTAACAAATTCATCACCTTGATTCACAGAGCAAAACTGTGGTAAACTTAGAAGAAACATGTATGTATCATTTCCAAAGCGTTCAATTCTATTTTTTTTGGAACCAATTGCATCAAACTTTGATTTCATTAGGTTTCGTAGGAGGAAAAACATGACCACGTAAATTTGGAATGCTTACATTTTAAAGTCCAGAGAGCAAGAGTCAGAAGTACCATTTGAAAAATATTCATTGTTTTGAGATGACTTTGCATCGTTCCATTCGCAAAACAATTGAATTCAGAACGATAAACGAAATCGAGTGCTTATCGATATCTGCAATATCCAAGCTTTTTCTATGTTTCTCAATTGCCGTCAATTGAAAATTTCCTCAAAAATCCCAACATAAAGAACTAATCCAATTACTTTTTATCAAAAAACATGGTAAGGTTGATCCTTGTTGATTGAAAAGGCACAAGAGGAGCTACACACAATAATAACAAAAATTTTGTCGGCCACTATGGCTAAGGTCCCAGAGTGGGACTCCTAGCTAGCTGTATCAAAGTTAAGCACTATTTACTAACGAAGATAATCGTTAATATGCATCAACTCGATATTTCGTGATGTAATCATAAGTTGACTCACTAAAAGCACAGTTAACAATATTTCAACATACCACGGACAAAATGATAGTTTTACACGTATTCAACGTAATCATCAAATCTTCGAATTCGAATGTTTGCATTAAATTATATTCAATTAATATAATTTCTGTCATGAATCCAATGCAAACCAATAAGACGAAGAAATAATGCATCTATAAATAGGCAATAATACTGATAAACAATGCTGATTGGCTTCTGACCGCCTAGAAAATACTAGCTAAAAATCTTTGGAAAAGCCCCCTGTCGAGCTAGTCGAAAAAAGAATGCCCACACGTCAAACTCCGTCAAGCATTTCAGGGGAAACATGTCAGAAGGGTATAACTGGAAACGCAAACAATCACCTTGAACGTCGATTTCTCTTGAATGACCACACACCCACGAAATCTGACTTCAGCTCATAAAGGGTGTCCACGATGAAATTGCCACACTATGAAATTGCTCTAACTTTTTAACCGTTGGGTAGAATTTAATGAAAATTTGGGTGGATTTAGTTCATAGTGCATTATTTAGTCCTGTCCTGTGATCAAAACTCGCGGAAATGGAGTCGAAAGAACAGCTCGTGCGTGATAAAATCTTGCGCATTCATCACGAGAACAAGGATTTGGGAATCGCGAATTCCACGGTGTCGCGAGTGATTAAGCGGTTCGAGGAACGGTTCGGAAGCCCAGAAGTGAAGGAAAAAGTATTCCGTACAACACCAAAAATCACAACCGCGTAGTTGGGGCCTTCAACCGAAATCCGAACGCCTCCGTTAGGGATGTGGCTAAGAAGCTGCACCTAAGCCGAAGTTTTGTCCAGAAGGCCAAAACTAAGGCTGGGCTTCGAACGTTCAAGGTACAAAAGGCCCCTAATCGCGACGAGAAGCAGAACAAGTCCGCCAAAACCCGTGCCAGGAAGTTGTACCTCAACATGCTGACGAAAGTTGAATGCTGCATCATGGACGACGAAACATATGTGAAGGCCGACTTCAAACAGATCCCCGGCAACCTGTTTTTCACGGCCAAGGATAAGTTCAGCGTTCCGGAGCATGTCCGCACTCAGAAGATGTCCAAATTTGCGAAGAAATTCCTGGTTTGGCAAGCCATCTGCACGTGCGGGAAGCGGAGTGCACCTTTCGTGACCCAGGACACGATGAACGGACAGGTGTACATAAAAGAGTGCCTCCAGAAGCGGCTGCTTCCTCTCCTGAAGGCCCACAACGTCCCAACAATCTTCTGGTCGGATTTGGCCTCATGCCACTACTCCAAGGACGTGCTGAAGTGGTATGCGGACAATAAGGTCAATTTCGTGCCGAAAATGTTCAACCCTCCCAACACTCCGGAGCTCCGCCCCATCGAGAAGTACTGGGCGATTATGAAGCAGCACCTTCTTAAACGACCTAAGGTAGTGAAGACAGTCGAGGAACTGAAGAAAGTATGGGTTTACATGCAAAAAACGGTTGATTCACAGGTTGTGCAGAATCTTATGGCCGGGGTTAAGGCCAAGGTGCGGGCATTTGCGTATGAACTGTAAATAAAATACGAGTAAAATGGTAAAATGAAGTTTAATAGTTATTTCTCAATCCCTGAAAATTTGATGGCAATCGGATGAAAACTCGAATTTTGCGAATCAATTTTGTGTGTGGCAATTTCATCGTGGACACCCTTTAGGACAAACATTTATCTGTCAGATGATTTAGTTAGTTAGAGTGGATGTGTTGTGTTGTCATTCGTATGAAACCGACGATCCAAGTCATTGTTTACGTTTCGAGTTAGACCTTTCTGACATGTTTCCCCTGATTTAAACAGCGGACGAACACCATCTCATTACGCATTACCGTGACTATTGACAATTCGCCTCTTCGGTCACTCTGTAACTCTTTACTCCTATGGTAGAATCCCATAAGCAAACATCAGTCTGTGCGTGAAACTTGGTGAACATTTCCTTACCCTTTCACTCCTATGAAAATCCCATATGATTCTGTCAATCTTTGCGTGAAGAAACGGCGGTATGCTGGAGGAATGAAGAGATAAGACAAAGTCCGCTAGATTTCATGCACAGATTGTCAGATGCTTATGGGATTTTACCAGGAGTAAAGAGTTGCAGAGTCGCCGTAAACGCCATTGCTTACTTTCGTAAGGGGCCCATGCTGCAAACGTAAACAATTACTTTTTGTGTGAATTTCTCGAAAATGAAAACTCCTTCAAGATAACCAACACCATGATTGTGTAGAGAAAGAGTCCTCCTATCCGATAAAATTAGTGGGTTACATGGATTGACTTTGACCTACGAGACATTTACGCAAGAAGCCATTATTTATGTTTTCGACATTGGTCTTTATGAATGCTCAGTGTCGATATCAAGAAAATTTAATTTTGACAGATCGATGTCCAACTACCCGCATAAACAATAACCATAAGAAGCGCCTAGCCACCAATTCGGGTTATCATCCCAACTTTATGTGGTATGGTCGCACCATCCATGATATTGTTAGTGTATGGTATCCGTTTATTAGGGTATGCCAGTTATACCACTGAGGCAAAACAAAAAAGGGGTCAGATTTGAGTCAGCTTTTTGCATGAAGTTCCACATATGTTATGTGACTGGACCGGAAATCGAACCCAGCCACCTCAAGCATGGTCTTTATTGCAGCTACGCCTTTACCGACTGAGCTAAGAAAGGCCCCGTTATATATAGTGCCGGAAGTAATGCGGTGTAATAGCACAATGATGCGCTATAATTCGCACTACTTCCGAAGCTATGTATAACGTATAGAACGAGACTAAAATCGATTTTTGCTGGTGGGGTTTTCCAGTTTCAGCTATAACGCCAATACACATCGCCCGCAAAACGCACAAGGATTGTAGTTTAATAGTTTTTTTTTCCGGAGGTATGTCCAAAACAGGAAACTATGGCCAAAACTGGTACACTCACCCTACCAAATCATCAAATGCCACATCACTGAAATAATTGATTATAATTACTCTTTGCAGGTCCTCGGGCTGGTGTTTTTCACGTTTGTATTCTGCTGGGCTCCGTTCTTCATCCTGAACATCATCTTCGCCGCCTGGCCAGAACTGGAAGTACCTGAGCGAATCGTCAACATCTGCCTCTGGTTGGGGTACGTTTCGTCAACGATCAACCCAATCATCTACACCATTTTCAACAAAACGTTCCGGGCGGCATTCATCCGTCTGTTACGATGTCGTTGCGAAAGGTAGGCTCCTCAATCAAACTTTCCAATCGAATCGATAAAGAACAGCTGCCCACTTTTTGTTTTCTTTCTTTCGCTCTCGTAGGTCCCGCCGACCTTCCCGGTACCGCTCGGTGACCGACAGCCGCGGAACGATTAGCTTGTGTACGCCATCGGCACTACCGTTGGCGATTTCCTTGCAGGGAGCTCCCCTGCTGACGCCAACCAGCACTCAAGTGACACCGCTCAGTGACTTTCGTGGTACATACGAAATCACCGACGATGATTGTTAGATATTTTTTTTCTGCTGTACCTGGACGCAATATCCGTTGCACAAAACGGCCATCCACAGGCGCCGCATTTTTAGGGAAACCGAACGGATCATAGACAGACTTCAGAGCTTACGTCAAGGAACAAAGAGTTCACTAGTCAAGAGCCAATCAACATTTTCCACACACACACAGAAGCAATGTATACCAAAAGTATTACAAGTTAGGAATTCGAATTTTAGGAGAATATCTATATCAATGTTGCGGCGATAGGACTACTGAGATAAAAGATCTGTTATGAAAACTTTTGCTTCTGGGTGCGTTTTGTGTCTTCAGGAAAGAAATTCCGGGTTGTTTTTAGTTTGGGAAAATATACTGCAAGCATGCCAGCTTGACCAGTGCACATAGGGGCAGAATGGTACTTTTGTCGGACAAAAATCGTAGCGCGCCACCCCTGCATCTTAGAGGTTTGGTGCCTTTGGCAAAGTTGTTTAAGTGGTTAAGGACTATCTAAGGACGTCAATATGTTAGTTCTAGATCACGCCGTTCAGGTGGCGCCACCTCTAACTTTTTATAGAAGCATCATAGCGAAAAAGTTTCTTAGGTAAAGTTGTTTGTTTTGACTTTTTGAACAACTCTTCTCAAGACGTCAAAAATCCAATACTTCAAGCGAGATATTTGAGATTTTTAGTAATATTCATTGAAAAACAGGTTTTTCTTCAATTTAATGTACTTACGCAGATAAAGTAAACTTAAATGTTTTTTTTTAAATAAAAATATGCATTTTCTCAAGCAATTATTGGGACACACTTGTTAAAGTAAATGATTGAACAGCATATTTCATCAAAATAAGCGAAAATTCATGCAAACTTCTATGTTCTATAAAACAAAAATGAGCAAAAAGTAGCAGCTCATTTTCACCTCACAAGCTCTTCAGTGCTTACCGATTACTATTCTGCTGAGCACTGGACCGGGCACTACAAGGCATTTTTATTACACAGTGTTAAAAATACTTGATTTTCATATATAACAAAAAAATCAATTTTTTTACATTTTACATTGTCTCTACGTGACATTTCGAAATCATCAGGTTAGCCTTGAATTGTTTGTTTGTTTTCTCAGACAGTGATTGTCATTAAAAAATGGTTTGCTTCACAAGAAGAGAAGTGTTCAATCTCTTGAGTGAAAATATATATCTTTCCTGGAAGCTCAGGTATAAATATATCTGCGAGAGATTACAAACGTCCACTTCAATTGGGGTAAACCCTGAAATCTTGAAGCTTATAAGAAAGAATTATAACGTTCGGTGTTGTCTAGAAATAAAAAAGAGATGGGAGAAAAGTGGTCGTAGGGGAAATGGATGTAATGTCGGCCTAAATGCCCCTAATTTGGGCCCATACATAAATTCAGCAATCGACTAAATTTTCAATAGCGACCAAAAATATTCATTAGTACCGTCCCAATGACGCGTTCATCTAGATAAAATTGAAAAATAGTAGATTTTTAGCGATGGGCCCAATCTTAGAACCATAGGCCAACATTAGAGCCAGCCAACATTTGAAAAGAGTAATGAGCTGTGGATGATAGGATGTCTTGACGTGGGAAGATCGGAAGCTATTAACGATATGTCTGTGCAATCAAGTAAGTGGTTGCATGAATATTGCATCACAAAACGCAATTGGTGAAGGAAGCTATTGAGAAACGAAAACGGATATCCAGAACAAGCTCAAAGCTGAATGTGGGCTGTTAGTGAACATCGTTAGAGATCGATCCGGAACGGTGAACGATGGCAACACAGTGCGGAGATTTTTTTCGAATCCATCGAAGACAAGTGAAATCACAAGTATCATATCTTATATTTTCATGTTTTAGGTTGTCGAATTGAATTACATAAAGTATGACACACAATGTTTATTGCTCGATAAATTTCAGGTATTGATACTTTTTTATAAACGCTGTCCTGTGGGTATGCTATTAATGGGGAGACCTTCCGAACATTCACTTTAGATACAGCGAAACTTTATGTAAAGTTCTGCTGTTGGTATCCCATGCCAGCAAAGTGTTTATACACGGATCAAATGCAATCGAAATTGCATTACTACCATCGGCATGCTGTCAGAGGAGGCACAAAAGGCCCGAAATAAGGATTTCTGAAATCTCCGGGAATGGAAGATTTAATGATAACTTCTGATCCTGTTTTGTCATCAATGAGAACTCCCGTGATCAATAAACACAAGGATCTCAAACCGACTATGGTAGCACTTTTCTGCAGCTACCAAATGATGCAAACAGTGTTAATTATATAGACGATAGTGATGCTGATAACGAGGATATTTCTGTAGATTAAACTTTATTTTATAATATAATAAATATTACAGATGCATTTTATATTTTATTTCTACTACAACAACAACAACAACAAATGAACTTGAAATCTAATCATTTTAACGATTCAAACAAAAAACAAAATTGCTTACTTGATTATATTGGTATGTCATGTAGAGAAAATAGCAATCCACAAGTGCAATGGTGCTTTTTTTTGTAAATCTTGTATTTTCAACACGCTGCAATAAAAATGCCTTGTAGTGCCCTGTTCAGTGCTATACAGGATATCAATCGGTAAGCATTGAAGAACTTGTGAGCTGAAAATGAGCTACTACTTTTAGCTCATTTTTGTTTTATGTACCATAGAAGTTTGCATGAATTTTAGCTTGTTTTGATGAAATATGCTGTTAAATCATTTACTTTAATAATTATGTCACAATAAATGCTTGAGAAAATGCATATTTTTATTTAAAAAAAAACATTTAAGTTTATTTTATCTGCGTTTAAAGTACCTACATTAAATTGAAGAAAAAAAAAAAACGGTTTTTCAATGAATATTACTAATAATGTCAAATATCTCGCTTGAAGTAGGCTGTGGATTTTTGACGTCTTCAAAAGAGTTGTTCAAAAAGTCAAAACAAACAACTTTGCCTAAAAAACTTTTTCGCTATGATGCTTCTATAAAAAGTAAGAGGTGGCGCCACCTGAACGGTGTGATCTAGAACTAAAATATTGACATCCTTAGATAGTCCTTAACCACTTAAACAACTTTGCCAAAGGCACCAAACCTCTAAGATGCAGGGGTGGCGCGCTACGATTTTTGTTCAACAAAAGTACCATTCTGCCCCTATGTGCAGTGCTGTTAATTTTCATATCATTCGATTGAAGATGAACCAATTCAACCATTCAATCAATTCTGCGCAACCAGATTTACTAATGCCCAGCATTTGAAGAGGCACTTTCTCAAACGAACAGATAAATTGTCCCGAACAGAAATGCGAAGCCAATTAAAGGTCGATGTCGACCCAATGTTAGGTCAATGTCAGATCTACGTCGGGTTGGGACTTTTTTTTCCTCTGTTCGGGACATAACACCACTGCGACCAGTAATTTGATCTATTTTAGTATATCCCGTGTTCTTGGTTTATTGCATGTCGTATTACTCCATCGCTATTGAGAAATGATGAAATATTCGTTTTTTTTACAGTTGTTATTCTTGGATTTATCGCAAGGATCCGACTCTAATTGAAAGGTCCCGCTATTTATACCCTTCGGAGTGTTGGCACACCCTCCAAAGGCGCCCCCCTTTGTCAGTCAAAATTGAATCGCTTAGCAATAAGGAATAACCCTGATAATGACCATGCATCAGAACCCTAGTCTCAACCACTTCAAACTAGGGAACAACGACTTCAATATTAGGAATCACATAGATGAAGACTAACTAACTAACTCAGGTCTTTAGAACGCCCGCCAATTACCAATCCCCACCGGAGGTGACCTCCTTTCGATGTGACCCCAAGCAGCCACAGAGTTCACACACCAATGAAAAAAATCTCAAATGTAGAGGAAGATTTAAGCAATCTAATGCAAAAAACCCCAAACGTTTGCGTTGTTTCATTTGCTCACAAAAAAATTCCGAAAATCGTCGAGTTTTTGACGTGTTACTTGTATTTCCCCCTTAAACACTTCAAACTAGGGAACAACGAATTGAAGATTAGGAATCACATAAATAGTTAGTCTTCATCTAATTTTTTCCTTGTTTCAAGATCATCCTCAGTGGACAAAGCCGAGTCTTGTCGCTATGGACAAGGCATAAAAAGTAACAAGGACTAAGATGTGTTCCTTTGATTACTGAAAAATCCTGTTCCCCTAGTTTGAAGAAGTCGGGACTAGGAATCAGTGGTAGATCTTACATCCCGTAACGTACCACGAAAAGGTGATCTACCCACGTTACGGGGTGGGTTGGGACTTGGTTGGTCAGGTTTGTGTTGGGTTGGCTTAACTTTTTCTCTGGAATGTCGACCAGAGCTCCGTTTGTGCGTAGGTTACACTCAATTGAATGATATCAAGCGTTTCTTAAATGAGAATGATTCATGCCTTCGTCAAATGACTAAGCCAATTAATATTACCTATTCGAAGGAGGTCTTTCCTTTGGTTTGTTTTTTCCGTCGATCTTGTTTTCCGTGCTGAGCACCAATGCTACCGACGTGCCAGGAAGGCAGCTCCCACACCTGGACCCTACCTATCGACCCATCAACTCATGAACCGGGGACCAACGGCTTTACTTCCCATCCGAAGGAAGGCGTGATCAGAGATGTTATGCCTCAGAACATCCCGGCGGCGCCGACTGGGATTGAACCCAGGCCTGCTGGGGTGAGAGGTAATCACGCTTACCACTACACCACCGGCGCCGTTCTGGAGGTCACTTTGATAGCGGGCAGTGTGGCATCTGCATAACAGACGCCATCGAATTCTTTCATTTCCAGCAGATCGCATTTGTTGCGCCACTGCTGAGTCGAAATTCCTTAACTGTCGCCAGTCATCGACCCTACAATAAGTGTCGAGGTACTGCATAATCAATTTCCGAGGAAAGGATCTAATTACTAAGCCAATGCACTACGTCTGTTTCCAAGCGGCGTTGTCACCATGCGACATGTAAACGTGGGAAAGCCGCAGCGCGGTTTCTCTCTTGATCATTTCTCTCCCTCTATTGGTCGATCTATGAATTGATCGCTGATTGGCTAGCAAATACATAATGACTTCAATTACCTCCAGTTTAGGCTAAGTTAAACATGAACAATAAAATCAATCTAACATAAACCATCAACAAGTGAAGTTGAATAATTTAATGAGAAACACAAGTGACAGATAGCAGGATACTTCACAGTAGCTGCTGTCCTCATTTTCATCAAAAATGTTCAATTGATGTTGAGAATTTACAGTACTGCCGTAGACACTGGCCTAATCTCCCCACCATAAAGTGTT